GCCAGCCAGATACAAACAAAAGAAATTCCATGAGATAACGGAGTCATCAAAAATGCTATTTACAAAGCTAGTCCAAACCTACAAAAGTAACTAGCTAAGAGTTCTTCCCCTAACCTACTCTTCCCATGGAATCAAAACCTAGCTCAAAAGAGCTCTAGCCTAGTTCCCCACGGAGCCCACTGACTCTCCCCCTTGGCTAGAACTAGGGGTACTCCCTTCTCCTGGTGTTTCATCACTAGAAGCCTCCACTTGCGCATTGGCGCCAATCACTCCTTGGATTAGTGTCTCGCACTCATTAATGATGCCGCTGAAACGATCTCTAACTTCCCGGACCACATTCGTGAGACGGTGGTTAACCACTTGCAACTGCTCCCTCAAAGCATTCGTTCGCTCTTGGTCCTTGGCCATATCCCCCTGAAGCTCTCCAATTCGATCTGCTTGCATCCTCATGATGCCCCTCAGTCTCAGCATCTCGGTGTGATACCTGGCGATGGCACTTCTAAATCTCCTCATTTCATCTAGTACCGCCACGACCACATGGTCAGCATAAGAGTAATGCTGGCAACACCTACAGCGATGGGTTCGACTAGCAGTATACCAAAGCCGGATCGGACCTCCCGATCTCTCTAGGTAATCAATGACTCGTGGGCACCTCCGAGATGGCTCACCTCCACCCTCTCCACTCGTTCCGGCCATAACCTATAAGGATAGCAAAGGTTTACATCGTAGACAATATAATCACACTTAACGGCGTCTTAACACAGTCCCCACAGGTCCTAAGAAGCAAAATCAAACTTGCTTAAGTCACTTCTAACATAGGCTCTGATATCAACTGTGACAACCCCACCTTCCCCTAAGGCGTACCAAAGGGGTCAACGAATTGCCTGCCCAACTCTCGCCAAGACTACTAAGACGGTTATACACAATCTAAAATGTTCCGGAATAAATTAGTAGCTTAAACGATTCAACAATCACGAAACGGAAAACGAAAATCGAAACCACAAATGAATAGTGACTGCCAGGTCACAATCCGGCCGGATTGGAGGCAGTAGCCAATCCACTGGATTCCAAAATTCCTCTGTCAATCCGGCCAAGAACTAGCCGGATTTGCGACCGGATTCTCCTGCACAGTTTCTCGCCAAAATTTTTATTCTTCATTCAAGTTCCGAACCTGTTCGAAACCCAACCAAATACAATTAACTTCATATAATCCTTGAAAATAGACATTTACAAACCAAATATAACACATGAACATAATTACCTACTTTTATATACCATATTCGTACATTTACAAATCAAAAGGGAAACAATTGAATCAAGGTACATTTAGGATTTCCAACCACTGAGGAGCTATACAAAAATATCTAGACTAGCTCAACTCATTCTTAAAAAATCACAAGTCCAAAAGGTTGTTCCCTGTAAGGAAAACAAAATTAACGGAGTGAGCTTTCGTCCAATGAGGTACCATCACTCAAGCATTCAAGGAGCATATAAACACAATGATACTCAAATCAAATATGTTCATCAAGTGAGCAAAACTAACACCACACAACAAATGAGAGTAAAAGGATACGGACGGCTCTTAAGAGCTCTTTTCCTCTTTTGCCATACTTGATCTCACCTCATTGACTCTCCGTCAATGTATAAAGATTAACCATAACCGTAGACTCCACTTTACTCCGATTTTCGTCCACCACATATAACCCTTACAGGACCCGAACACCAAGCAGAACAGAAATGGTAATGGTCGAGTATACCGGAATCAAGAGTCTCATACCTATAGATTCCTCAAAACAGTCCCCATGGCTTGTCAAATTTCCTCGACCAAGTCATTACTGGCTCGAGTCAATTGACTTCCAATGAGGTTGAGCTCAAAGGTAATAGTAACGGTCGTTGGATACACGTCCAAACGACATCAGTTCAAGTATAATCAAGAGAATTCCATGTGATACAGGAAATAGTTAAACAAGCCATAGAGTACGAGAGCGATCAAGTACACCCTTGTCTCATCTAGCATAAGCAGTAAGCACAAACAGTCCAATCACATATGTCAAGTACAATAAAACCATGAAATAACAATCACGTGAGTAGTACACTCACCACTTCAAACAAAGAAACTTCACAAGTTTCCACCCGACGTATGCCTTGAATCATCGGCACGCCCCATAACAATCAAGATAACACAATGAGACTCGAACACGAGTCATAAACCTAATCAATAACTACTAATGCAAGGCCAAGTAGAACTTAGAAATGAAAATAAGGAACACTTGGTGCCAAAGGTTCAAACAACTCCCAAAGTCACTCATTTCCACTCACAACAAGCCAATACCATGAAATTACCTAGACTTAAGAATTGGACAGCATTTCCCCTAGAATTTCAGATTTTCTATCATACAAATAACCATTTATATTCATCCAACACAACCACAATTATAACTACAAGTCATAAGCTATTCAATACACCTTCTTAGGGTTAAAATGGCCTTTAATCTTAGCCAAATCAAGAGTTCCACAACAAACCCTAGAAAAGCCCCAAATTCAAACCCTAAAACTAAAATTTCGGCACAAAGCTGAAATTTTTCGCAAATAATCATATTCAACATATACAAGCTCCATTTCACACCATAACAAGCCATCATTCCATGACTAAACAATAATTATCATATAAAATCAGAAATTCCACCAACAAATCAGAAATTTATCAAACTCTACTAAAAATCATGAAATCTTCCACAAAATAACATTTTTAGCCACTAAAAACTACTAATCTACCCTTATTAAGAACAAAGAGGAAATTTCTTAGCAACTCACATTAGAAACTCAAGAAAGATAGCAACTTAGCACCTCCTCTTCTAAAACTACTCTACCACCTTCTTTAATCCTATTTTGCAAAGGATTTTTATGGAGTAATTTGAAGTTTTAATGGTTGGATCACAAGATATGAGGAAGAAATGGATTAAACAAGTTGAAAGTCTCTCTCTTCTTTCCTCTCAAGAAGCTCGGCCAAGAAGGATGAAAATGAAGATGATTTTTGGTCAATTTTGGTATTTAATAAAGTTGGGGAATAGTGGTCAAAGTCCAACTTTGAAGAAGGTGACACATGGCACCTTTTAAGTTCAAACCTATCTTCATGTCTCTCCAATGTTAATCTAGTTAGGTAACCTCTAATCATTTCCTAACACCTAGTAATTTAAACCCTTTATGCAAAACTTAACCAAATTGGCCGAATTTATCGCATTTAATGCACTAGCGGGTCCCACGTCCAATATACACTCCTAATATCTCTTGAACTAACTTATACTAGAAAAATGATTTAAAAACTATATTTAGTCATAAAAATTATTTAGAAATTTTTCATAATAAAGAAAATATAGAAAATGGGTGCAAATAAATTAAATAATGGCTAGAAAATATGAAAATTTTGGGTTCTCACAGTCTGGGCTTGAACGGCTAATGGTGCATTCTCGGTAGCCTCTGCTTACTCCATTGTTGCGCAGGCGTCCAACTACTCGTGGGTCACTTCACAGGTTTGGCTGAAAGGATGCCCACTCAAGATTTCCTTCTTCATGCTTCGGCTTTTGCGGTCGCGTCTTCCCCTTATGCATATGCTATAGAGATTTGGGGTTCAGGGACCGTTTAGGTGTCACTGTTGCTCTGAGCCGGGCGAGGAAGGGATCCATCAACCCTTCTGCACAGGAGATTTAGCAAAGGCAGTCTGGAATCGCTTCGAGAACAATCCAGGGGATTTGGTTGGGGTTTCCACATTGAGGCATCTGGTCTTTCGATGGTGGTTGCGCCGGAGGCACAATGAGTACCTTAAGTTCGTCTATCGATTACTACCAATGCTGGTCTGTTGGGAGCTGTGGAAAGCAAGAAACAAAGGGGTTTTTGAGGGGAGGAAGATGGTGTGTACGATGGTGGTGCATCAGGTATTTCTACATCTGTGTGAATTATTTCATTGCCGCTTTCCGAAGATAGAAGTTTCTTTTGGGTCGTGGGATGCTTTTCACTCGTCTGTGGTGGGTATGAGACGGAGGGTTTCTATTCTTTAGGTGGCATGGGTGGCTCCTACGACAGGGTACAAATTGAATTCAGATGGATGTTCTAGAGGGAATCCTGGGGTTAGTGGGGGTGGGGTTGTGGTGCGAGATAGGGAAGGGAAGCTCATTTTTGGCTATTCTTGCTCTTTGGTTGCATGTTATGTGTATCAAAAACTTGATATATGTGATGTTGTCACAACTTATTTCTATGGAACATTCGATAATGATATCTATGGAACATTGGATTCCTAAAGGATTTAGCATTCCTGCATCCCTAAAACATGTAAATTAAATCCTAGAAAAATTTATTCTATCAAATTGTAACGTTTTTTGTATGGGTTCAAATAATATGAATGCATATGGTATAATCGCCTTAGTAAATATTTGATTAAAAAAAGGCTATATTAATGATCTTATATGTCCATGTATTTTTATAAAAGAAACTTGGTAAAATTTTATAGGTGTTTCATAAAGCAGTTGAATATTTGAAGAAATAATTTGACATCAAAGGTTTTGAAAACACTAAATTTGTGTTGGTTTACAAATTCAACATTTGTAAATGCGAATTTTGTTCACCAACCGGTTGCTTAGATACCCTGAACAATTTCCGGGTTTGAGTAGTTTGCTTGTTTGGCAGACAAGTTTTTTGCCAAGTTTGTCTGTTACAAGTTTTTTAAAAACTTTAACTACAGTACCCTCAAAAAATTTTTCAAAGTTTTTAAACTATACATTTCAAAATATTAAAAAAAAACACACATCAAAAAAATTTTACAGTAAGTTACAGTAAAGTTTTTGACAAAAATCTAAAAAACTCACTTGCCAAACGAGCCTTTAATATCGGTTGGCTGCATCAAATACCGGGTTGATATACTGGCGGTCCAGCCCGGTTCAAATACCCAGCTGACTTTACTGGCGGTTCAGAAGGTCGGCTAATTTTTCTTTGAAACTTGAAACCGTTCTTTTAAATCCGATTCTGCTGTGTACAGCTTAATCGAAGGGCCTAAAACAGCATCTCTCACAGCATTTCATTGTGTCAGAAGCAAGAAAACTTGGGGATTTCTCTACTTCTACCTGGCGGAGGCAAGAAAAATGGAGAGCGGAGACTACAAAGACGTCCCAGAAAATGCAAATGAACGTGTGTAAAGAAATTTTAACACTTTATTCACTTTTTTCCTTTTCAATTTTACCAGTAAAGTTGATTTTTATTTTGTTTTCGACTACCCAATAAATTATTCTTTTTTTGTTTAAATTTTGTTTTGGGTTTTCAGATTGTCCAGGGACCCAATCGGAGTCAGCGGGAAAATCTGATGCATGTAAAGGATGCCCTAATCAAGAAGCCTGTGTTACTGCTCCTAAAGGCCCCGACCCAGGTCTTTTTTTTTTGGAAAAATATCTGTTATTTTTTTTTTTGTTTTTGTTTTGATGGGGAAGGGCCGCGGCGGGGAGGGAGAAGGTGTTTAACTCAAATTAAATTATTGTTATTGATTTTTGAATGGTTACAAGGAGGGGCGGCATAAAAAATGTAAAATTTTTATTTGATTTGTGATGTACTGTTAAACTTCTTAAATTTCAGAAGATGGTGAGAATAAGCAGAGGATTAAACGGGATTTGGTTGTTGAAAAGCCAAATTTCCAATTTAGAATAACTTGAGTAGTTTGTACACGGGTAGGTTTTACTGAAATATGTTTTTGCAGCTACCTCTGTTAATATTGGCAGACAAATGTTTGGTAAAGTTTAGCAAAATGGGATTGAATCGTTCTAATAACATTTCTCCAACGCTGTACTAGAGCTTGACTGATAGCTCGATATGTTCAGTTAAGCCAAGCATCCCTAGAATGTATTCAAGATTAGCTTGATGTGTTCAGTTAAGCCAAGCATCCCTAGAACGTATTCAAGATCACACTCTCAAAGTAAGTGAGATATAGTATTGGAGTTAAATGCTGTTAGGTAACTTAACTAACTTGAATTTCTCGAATACTACAGGTAGGCTAGATGAAGCCCAATCTGGATCACTTGATGTTAGCCACATGATCTTGTGGTTTTTAATTTGCTTTTTTTTTTTTAAAAAAAAAGAAACAATTCAGTACTGTACTTGTTCTGATTGGTGCTACTTGAATGGTGTTTTCATATGTCATAAACAGTTTTGCAGCTCATGACTGTGTGTTGTTAACTTGATGGAAAGACGCTTTAGATAGGAATTTGTCATATGTCAAAACTGAACATACTATGCCGGATTTATCTGTTGCGATTGTGCTGGGAAAAAGGAAGCCATTAGGTAGTGGTGTGTGTCTCACGCATAGCGTTCACACATTCTGGACCTCCTGTAAAGTTTCCTTGTATTGCTTAAATTGAAGATTTTACTTGCTGCACTCCCCCCAAAAGAATGAACTGATATAAAACAGAAGGCAGTAACCAAAGTCAATGGCATGTGCCATGCTTTTGTTAATCATATTCATTTGCAATAGCTTTCGCCAATCCAGCTGCTTTTCTTATAAATACTTCTAATTGGTGTTGAATCTTCTCTCTCTTTCATATTGCATCTTGATTCTTTTAAGTGTTTTCATAAAACTGCTGTTATTGCCAATGAATTTATGCTTTTTGTTAATCTTTCAGAATGCATGATATCCAGCTTTCAAATAGCTAGATCCTTAAATATGTGAGATTATGATATGCTCAACTTGATTCTCCACCTGTGAAAATGGGCATGTCTACTAATGGGAAAAAATGTCAGGGCAAAATTTTTATAACCTGAGATGTTGAATTCCAACTGCTTCTTGCGGAAAACTTGCCTTAGGTGGTAGTAATGCTGAATTGCATGAGAATGGAACATATTCAATCATGAAACTAGGGACATTGGAATTGAGATTTTAGTGAAATTATCTGTAGTTTGTCACTGGAAATGAATAGTTATTAAATTGAGGCATTTGGAGTCAAGAAAAGAATATTTTCTTCTAAAGTTCTTTAACTACTGTCTTGTTATTTTGTGTTCTGGTAATTAAGTTCTTGGGTTCATGATTCCGTCTAAGGTTGAACTCCAACATTAGCTGATGTATTCTTGGCTGTGCTGAGCTTGCAGTGAGTGTGGGTTCCCTTCCCCCCCCCCCTTCCTTTTTTTTCAAAATGGATCAATGTGAACTCTTATTTTACTATATTTGCATGAGTCTGTGTGTATTTTACTGCTTTTGAGGGTTGAAAATATTGATGACTTGATGCATTTTCTTCTGTTGGCATGAAGAACCAACAATTAATGAAAAGTTTGAGAAACCAGGAGTTGGGTGGTCTTGAGATAAATTGAAACTGTCTAAGTTTTACTGGTAGGAAATTGGCATGCTTCAAATTTTTTCTTCTGATGCAAGCATCATCTAAAACAGATATTTCTGCCATGTATTAGCTTCTGGAAAATATGGATCTCATTTTTAACTGGATCTCAATTTTCATTAGCGGTTCATATGAATCATTTTTCATCTGAGTGCTGTATGGCAGAAAATTTTTCAAGCTTGCCTTTCCTAGTTTCCTGCAGCTTTTATATAGTTTTGCTCAATCATTGCTCTTATGAGGCAAGGAACATTTATTTACTGGTTTATTTCTTCTTGATTTCTGTTGCAGATTTGGTTACCATAGTAGAGCGAATGGCTACTGTAAAGCACAAGATACTGGTTTTATCTGGCAAGGGTGGTGTGGGCAAGAGTACATTCTCAGCTCAACTTTCTTATTCACTAGCAGCTATGGATTTTCAAGTGGGTCTACTTGATATAGATATTTGTGGACCCAGCATCCCAAAGATGCTTGGCCTTGAAGGACAAGAGATTCACCAAAGTAATCTTGGATGGTCTCCTGTTTATGTTGAGTCTAAGCTTGGGGTCATGTCAATTGGATTTATGCTTCCCAACCCAGATGAGGCCGTCATATGGAGAGGCCCCCGCAAGAATGGCCTAATCAAGCAGTTCTTAAAGGACGTTTATTGGGGGGAGCTTGATTTTCTTGTGATTGATGCTCCACCTGGAACCTCGGATGAGCACATCTCAATTGTTCAATTTCTTCAAGCGACTGGAATAGATGGTGCTATTGTAGTCACTACTCCACAACAGGTATCTCTAATAGACGTCAGAAAAGAAGTGAGTTTCTGCAAGAAAGTCGGCCTAAAGGTTCTTGGTGTTGTTGAAAACATGAGTGGTCTGTGTCAACCATTGTCGGTGTTCAGATTCATGAGGACAACAGAAACAGGTGAACAAAAGGATATGACTGAGTGGATCCTATCATATATGAAGGAGAAAGCCCCAGAAATGCTGGATGTTGTCGCTTACACTGAAATATTCGATAGTAGTGCTGGAGGTGCTGGTAGAATGTGCAGTGAGATGGGCATCCCTTTTCTTGGAAAGGTTCCACTGGATCCTCAGCTATGCAAAGCAGCTGAAGAAGGAAGATCGTGCTTTTCCGACGATAAATGTCGGGTGAGTGCCTCTGCACTTAAAATGATCATCGATAAACTGTTGGCACAGCAAATGATTTCCAGAATAGAGGATGGCGCCTAGGTGTTATCTCTCTCTCTCTCTCTCTCTCTCTTCTTTTGGTAGGGGTTGGTCGAAGCTTTTTGCATCTGTTTTGTTTGGAGATAAGATGTTAGATTTGTACAATTATAGACACTTTTTTGGTATTTCGCTAATTGATTGATCTTGAGGTGAGCTGTTTTTTTTTTTGAGTTGGTTTGGAACAGTTAATAGATGAAATTTGTCAGTCTGCGCTATATCTCTCCAAATAAATTGATTCCTGATTTATATTGCACCTATAATGAATGATAGCTTAGATCTCTCCTAGTTTACTCGTGTTTCTCTTTATTGTTATGCTTCTCTGGTATAAGTTAAAAGGTTCAGAGTTTTTGCTGATTGATATGGTTTATAGTTTAATTTCTGCACTGGTCCTTTGGGAATGAGGATGTTCAAGTTTGCTACATTGCTGTCTTTTGTTTATGGAGCAAACGAGTCAGCTTACCTAGTCCCCTTAGCAGAAATAAAACGTGGGGTGACTACCCTGATTACATCAGCCCCTAAAATTTCTTTAAGGGCCCTTCATTTAATAAACCTTGATCATATTGGTTTTGTATTCCTCCCTTAGTCGGCCAGTAAGCACTCCAGTTGTCTTCCCTCTGTTGGAGGTTGCACGACCATTCTTTCTCATTCATTCTTTGATTTGCTTTGCTAAGTTATAGTGCGGTGAAGTGAAATCTACCTTTTCAATCGAAGCTAAACTTTCCTGAATCCCTACTCCCATGCCAACTTCAATAATTGCTCCCTTGCCAATATTCTTTGAGAGCCTCACTTCCATCTTCCCCTGTCATCACTTATCAGCCCTCCCTATTCCTGCCATTCCTGGATTACTCCCAGATGCGCTGCCAACATTGTCTTTAACAGTACCTTCCGCTGGTGGACTTCATCTGATGAAAACATTCCTGCGTTGGAGTTCAACGTGAGCCTTAAAGAAGTACACTCTTTGCTTGATCTGCCATTGCTAATAGAGTACTTAGGCAAGTATGTAGCAAAGGTTACCCGCCTTCATTGTATTTCTTGCTCTCCATGCCAAATGTATAATCTGTTGGAAAAGTAACTTTCAGTTTACCCCCAAATCCAATTCCATCCTGCTTCAGATTGCAATCAAACAATTCAAATGACGGTTTACTGAAAAAGTACTCCCATTTATTCTGATTTACTACCAGTATCCACAATACCCTGATTCAGTCGGAATCCCTGACTGCATGAGCATTTGTTACAAATCTGGCACAAGTCATCCGTTGCCAAATGTCTTCGTTTCCGAATTGTCCATAGCAGGAATTGCCACCTTTGAGGACCCTAATTTTCCAAATCGTATCCCATCCTGCATCTCCATGCCTTGGCTCCTTTTCTTCCCACGTGATTTTATATGCTGACATTGGTAGGAATCTCCCTTTTGAATCTGGTTTCTAGCAAAGAATATCTGGGTTATCATCCCTTGGGAGAATGCACATTGCTTTAAACTTTGCAAGAGGTTGAGTGGTATAACTTTCTTTGCTTCAAAAATAGACTTTCAAACCTTGTAATAAGAAAGGGGGAAAAGTAGAAAGATCGAGAGTCAAATTAGTGATCTCACAATTACCTAACTTCTGCGTTTATAAGCTAAATTGAATATTGCAAACTGAAAGATATTAATTTAAAATATTAACGCATTTCGTTCATTCATTTGCTCAACAAAAAAAATATTTTTTAGTCTTTATGATTGATTTAATAATTTGAATAACGAATATCGATTTAATTTCAATATGATTGCCAAAGCAATTGGTCAAATTGGGCCAACTTGATGTGGCCTAGATTTGGGCCATTATTTAAAAAAAAAAAAAGGTTTATTATTTCCTCCCCAAACATTTTTCACCCCAACCATCAAATTCAAAATTGAAACCCTGAATTTAGCAATCTAAAGGATTCTAAGAGTTTTCTTCTCACCATTCAACCAATCTAGAGTGATTATTCACAATTCTGAATTAAACTTTCTTTCAACATTATTGTCCAAATCGAGGAGCTATACATCCACATTGGCAATTCCTAAAACAATTGGGTTTGTTTGGATATGAATTTATTTAAAATATTTATTTAAAATAATTACTGTAGCACTTTTTGTGATATAATATATGTGAAATTAAAAAGTGATTAAAAATTATGTGTGTAATGCAAGCAAAACAAAATCTGAAATTTTTATTTGAAAATCTTGCAATTTAAACAAACCCATACTAATGGCATCCACCATCCACGGTGTGAAGTTAACTGTCCTTTTAATATCATTGTCCAAATTCAGGGCATAATTAGCTGTACATCTACATAATCTATCAGGTGACTTCCATGAGACCAAGGACGGAATCAAAAGGGGCGGAGAGCAGTTACAACTAGGGGTGGGCAAAAAAACCCGTCAACTCAAAAATTCGAACAATCTGATTCGCCTTGTACTGAAAATTAAGATAACCGATCCGATTTCTATTAGCTGAGAAGGATCAGGTACCTGTAAAATTCGGATACGAATATGGGTTATAAAAATAAAAATCCGTAGGTATCCGAACTGGGGTATATTATATAAATATTAAAAATATAAGGGCAATTTTATAATTTCCTTAAATAATTAACCCTAAAGAATTTTATCGACATTCAGTTTTCCACTTTCCAAGTTTCTCTCTATCTTCAGCCGAATATATCCTTTTCTTCTCTTCAATTTTCACCACAACAATTCCAATTTTCTCTTCAATTTTCACCACTTTGTGCTACAAATATACGATTGTCTTGGAATCATGAGAGAATCACAACCCATTTCTGATTTGCTGGTGCTCCTCAAAGTAAGCCTCAAGCAGAAGCTGCAGAACGCCGGACCTTCAATGCAAGCTCTCAACTAGAGGTGGCAATATGGATAAATGGTTCATAATTGGTTTTGACTTAATGGATGGTGGATAAAATTTATCCAATCCATTTAGATCCATTTAATAAATGGATCTAAATGGATGGATCTAAATGGATTAAATAAAAACCAATTATCCATTTATAATCCATTTAAATATTTTTGTTACTTTTTTTTTGTATTACCATTTCTTGTAAATTCAAGCCACAAAATACCACGGATGTAAATTCAAGCAAAATGAACCTTCATTTCACTAAAAAACTATCTGAAATTATTATTATTATTTTTTATTTTTATTATTATATATGTATATATATATTACATATTACAGAGTAGCCATATATTGCAAACTAGCCCAAACAATAGAAGTCCTGCATAGATCGTACGTAGGGTATCTACAAATTCGGCATCCATGGATTTTAATTATGGCCCATATTATCTTCTACTTTTAGCCTTGACTGCATTTAAATTTATCTCAAATTCGGCATTTCCCTCTCAATTAATTAAGTCCAAGAACAGATACCAGTTTTCTGTTGTACTTTAAAAAATAAGAGAGATCTTAGAACAAGTAAAAGTTCATAGATATATGATTCAAGTGGATTAATTAACCGATTTGTAAACTTATTAATGTGTTTGTTACCAAAAAGAAAATGATCAAATTTACCCCTCCTAATTCAAAATCCTCTCATGGTCTGATGTTGACCCACTTTCTTAGCAAATGAATTAGATTTCACTAAGTGAAGAATTAAAATAAACTAGTAACTCACCTTATTCAAAAATGCATTTAAATGAATAACTATATTTTTCTTGTTCTAGTTACCAGTTCATGTAAGCAAAATTTTCACACCCCAATTGCAATTTTAGGATGGCTCCTTTTTTAGTCATTTCCTTTCCCTCTCTTTTATTTGGTTTTTAAGTAAATGGATATATATGGTTTTAGTGGATAATCCATATAAATCCATTTAATTTAATGGTTTTACTTTGATCAACCATTTAAAACCAATACTATAAATGGATAATCCATTATCCATTTAATTATGGATTATATGGATGGATAAATGGATTTCAATCCAAATTGCCGCTTCTACTCTCAACCTCGTAAGTGAACCCTAGTATTTCGGTGAATCTGTGATGCCCACTGCCCAGATTCTTGACAGGAGATATGGATTTTTTAATGGATTAAATCAGAAAAATAAGGAGGGGGAGGGAATAGCATCTTCGCTAGGTGACAGGTAGAGTTGGAAAGTGCAGAACTCGCACTTATTGACTTTGCTGATGCTTCTTAAATAATCAAAGATTACTGGTGTGTACTTCTGTAGTTATTTGCATCAGCATGTAGCATCTCTTTTAGCCTATGATTTCTTGAATTTTAGTAGGCCGGTAAAAGTTGTTAGGCTGGGGGAATTTGTTTCTAGAACCGAGAGTTGCTGAAGTTGGTGTGGTTGGCACTTCCTTTTCTGTTTTCTATTTATGTCGAAGCTGAATTTGGCACTTATTCTCTATGTTTTCTTATTCTGCTTTAGTAATTTATTGGAAGGTGATATTTGTTGTGCTTGAAAAATGGATATTAGTAAACATGAATTATAGGACGGGTACCCCATGAGCTGTCCTTTTTTTTCGAATACCCGAGGTTCGGGTATCCGAAAACAAGCGGAGCGGCTTAGGGTAAAAAAAATAGTGATCCGATATATTAGGGTCAAATCAGTCAAATCATGTTACCCGACTCGTGCCCACCTCTAGGTACAACTCCTACGTTCTTGAAAATTATGTTATTTCCCCTTCAAACTTCGAAAATTTTTTGAAGTTTTTTTTTTTTTTTAAACTGTAACGCTTTCATGTCTATGAAAGTTGTTCCTCAAAGTGAAGTTTCTGGTTCCGTCCCTATGCAAATTACTAAGGAGCACAGGGCAAAGAAGGCACTAAGAACTACAAATCACACCAAAAACGCCAAAAACGCGAAAAAAGTGTGAGCTTCGCATCATTTCGGCACCATGAGTTTAACCTATCAAGAAAGACTTGGTTTTGAGCCTGCACCTCCACGGCTCCACTCTAGATCATCTTTCCTCCTTCGCTTTAATGAGTCTTGTATAGTTACATGTTTACATATATTTGCATCTTTAAATCTGACAATCTGTGTATTCTTCACATTTAAGTCTCCTGTGACAAAATTCTTGGAAGACTTGAGTCTTTGGCATTTAATCCCAACAGTGGTAGAATAGAAGTTAATGGTTGATCAATCGAAATGACATTGGTGTCTTGGTCTACAATCTACACATCACATTTATTAGGGACTGGAAGCGTGAAGACTGGAGTTATTCCTACTTAAAGTAAAATAAGTTGAAATTTTCCAACCAGCAGTCTTGCTTTCTTCAATTTTTTTGTCTTCTTTATATATAAGATGAATCCTTCGATAGACATCTAGATACTTTAAAAGCCGTTAAAAATGCTCCAGCTGTTAGTTAATTCTATGACAGCAAAAGTGTTGATACACAGGCAACCATTTGGCTTCAGTGATATTTGATAATTTGTTTTCCTTTGCCATAAACATTCAACCTTTTTTTTTTAAACCTTCAACTTTATAGCTGGACATATGAATTTTGATGCAGGTAAAACTGAATTAGCATCGTTTGTTGACAGATTGAGACCAAATGACAGTAATCTAAGAAAATTTTGGAGAAAGAAAGGAAGAAAAGCATTTTCAGCAGCTTCATCAATTTCTCTTTACTTTCTGTTTGCACGTTACTTTGTTTTTTTTTTTGGGGTATGTTTGATTTACAAACACAGTTTGAAGCTTGGACTTGATAACAAGAATTCCTTTGAGAGAGCTACTTCTCTTGTCAGAAACGTGTTAGCAATAGCAATCAAGTCTCTGGCACTCATGTACGAGCAGTTAAGCTCCACCTAAAAAGTGGATTCAGCAATAGTTGAAGGGCGACGATCGTTTGGTTATATGTATATGTTCTTTGGAAAAGATCAGTTCGTTGAAACTGCTAAACATACTATAGGGAAATACAATTTAAAAGCTTTCACCTCCTCTGTCAAAATCCATCTTAGCTGTTACTGCTTGTTCAAGACATTTCATTCCACTTCTTGGAGCTATTAGCCTTACATCAGAACTATCTCAAAACTTGCTCCTGACAGGTAAAAAGTGGTCCACAATTTATGGAAATGGAATTTCTGACACCATATGAATTGCCAACCTTATTTTTTGACTTGACTTGAAGAAATTTTGCCAGAACTGGTTGTTTGCTGCCCGGTGCGTCACGGCCAATCCGATCTCTAAGTCCAGTCAACTTAAATAACTTCCATAATGTCAAGAACATTTTTCCACACATTGGTTTACCTCACACATGGAATGACAAGTACATGCACATACCTGGATATATGCATATTCACAATTAATACTTGAGATTCAGGTGTGAAATACTCCAAAACCTAAGTCTAAGTTAGCCAAAGATTTCTGCCCAAAATGAGTAAGTATGTTGACATCTCCTCAACAATTTTTTTCTTCTTTTTGTTCATTTACTCAGTGTTCTCTCAGCTACCTTCAAAGCAAATTGCCACCATGACTAATCTTTATGAGATGCTTCAGAATAATAGTGGGAATTCATCATTTCCATGGAGTAATGTGAAAAAAGACTCTAATCCATGTTCATGGGTGGGAGTTTCATGCAGTTCAAGCAACTCCTCTGTAACTGAACTTTCTTTACCATCGCTTTCAATATCTAGCTCAGAAATTCTGCCTGTTGTTTGCCAGATTGATAGCTTAGAATCTCTTGACATCTCTAATAATCATTTGAGCTCAATCCCAAATGTGTTTATCTCTTCCTGTGGTGGGATCAGTGGTTTGAAACTGCTGAATATTAGTAGGAACGAATTGGGTGGTTCTTTGCCTACTTTTAATGGTTTTCAAAAGTTAGAGGTCTTGGACTTGTCTCGTAATGCTCTGATGGGTAACATCAATTTGCAATTCGATGGGTTGGATTCTCTGAAGAGTTTGAACCTGAGCTACAACAGATTCACTGGTCCTCTACCAACCAGTCTTGGGAAAAACAATCTTTTACAAGAACTTCAGCTATCTACTAATGGTTTTCAAGGTGAAATCCCGGTAGGGCTAGTGAAATATGGTAATTTATCTCTGATTGATCTTAGTCACAATGAACTTTCAGGATTAATCCCTGAGAGATTTGGAGAGCTTTCCAAGCTCCAAATATTGGTTCTCTCAGGAAGCAATTTGAGAGGTGAAATTCCTAAGCTCCTTGTAAAGATTCAAACACTATTCCGATTTGCTGCGAACCAGAATAATTTTGTTGGAAATATTCCTCCTGGGATTACTACGTATCTCAGGAATTTGGACCTCAGTTTCAACAAGCTAAGTGGAACCATTCCCCAAGACCTTTTATCCCCACCCAATTTGCTGTCAGTAGATTTGTCTTCCAATTTGTTAGAGGGGCCAATACCAACAGAGATCTCTTTAAGCCTCTTCAGGTTGAGGTTGGGAGGCAATTTATTAAATGGGACAGTCTCATTTCGATCATATGGAAGCCTTACCAAATTGACCTATTTGGAGCTGGACAACAACAGTCTAACAGGCGAAATACCTCCTGAATTGGGATTATGCCGAAGTTTAGCTCTCTTGAATTTAGCCCAGAATAGGCTGACTGGGGTCTTGCCTGTACAATTGGGTAATCTTGCCAATCTTCAAGTTTTATACCTTCAGAAGAATAAGTTGGTTGGAGTTATCCCTCATCAGTTTACACAGTTACACAGTTTGCAGAGAATGAATTTCAGTTCAAATTCAATTGGTGGCTCAATTCCTGCTTCAATTTCCAAATTGCAAAATCTAACAAACTTGGACTTGCAACATAATAATCTGAGTGGTCCAATTCCCATTCCCATTCGCACTCTGAATCTCCTATTCGAACTTCAACTTGGAAATAACCAACTCAGTGGAGATGTTCCAGCAATGCCATCATCATTGCAGATTGCTCTGAATCTCAGCAACAATTTATTTGGCGGGCCTATTCCCGTGTCGCTATCTGGATTGATCGCATTGGAGGTTTTGGATCTTTCGAATAACAAATTTTCAGGCGTAATCCCGAACTTCCTCACTGAAATGGCAGACTTAACGCAACTTGTACTTTCAAACAACCAACTTTCTGGAGATATTCCGAAGTTTAAAATATATGTTACGGTTGTGACAGATGGAAATAAGGGTCTAAACATAGCAACTCATGTTTCAACAGCAACTGCTGGTTCTAAACATTCAAAGGGATTATCTACTGGGATGGTGATTGCTGTTGCTTTTGTCAGTGGTTTTATATTCAGCTTCATGATCGTAAAGATTATTCCATGTCTCAATTATTCCTGGGATAGAACTAAATTTGAGTGGATCATCAATGATGGCATCCACAAACCTAGCTTTCACTTCTCCAAAGCCATGAAAGAAGTTCACAGACAGGCCAATATCTTGTTGAAGAGCGAGTTCTATACCTACTATCAGGCATCGATGCCTTGGGGCATGAACTATTGCATAAAAAAGCTATATTGGACTAGCAAGACACTCAGTTTGGTTAGTCCAGAAAAATTTTCTCAGGAGGTAAAGCTACTCAATCAGTTAAGCAAATCAAACATCATGATTCCTGTTGCTTATGCTTTGACAGTTAAAGGTGCACTTCTAATATATGAATGCCCTCAACATGGAACTCTCTTTGATCTTCTCCATGGAAGTGATGAAAATGTTCTAACTTGGGAAATTCGTTACAACATAGCTGTTTCAGTGTCCAAAGGCCTCGCTCATCTACATGGATTTTATGATTCTACTTCTGCTCCAGTTGTGCTCCTTTGTCTTTCGACAAGAAGTATCTTTATGAGATCACTTTCAGAGCCCTTAATAGGAGATGTTGAGCTCACTAAAGTTATTGATCCTTCAAAGAGCTTGGGGACTCTTTCAGTAGTGGCTGGAGCAGTGGGTTATGTCCCTCCAGGTAATGTTATTCCCATTTGGTTTGTTAAGAAGGAAATTTTTGACTGTATACCTGAGGGAAAAAGGTCAAGAAAAGATCTCATTTTCTATAACCACAAAGCGAATATTTCAATGTCAGATTAAAAACTTAGAAAGACATGAAGGATAAGCATGTGTAAAAGCAGATGGGAATACAACAAACTACAACTTAATATGCAAAAATGTCAGTGATTACAAATAAAGGTTATTCAGGCAGTCAGCATGCAGTAATTGCAAATTTCACAATCATTTAAACCAACAAGCTCGTAGTGTAATGTTAATCTTGTAATCCTCATATGAGTTTCTTACTATATTTTGTCTTATTTTACCGTATTTTACATTTCTACATGGCAGAGTATGCATACACTATGAGAGTTACCAAATCTGGCAATATCTTTAGCTTCGGAACCATTTTGCTGGAGTTGTTAACTGGCAAACAAGCTGTAAATGAAGGAATAGAGTTGGTGAAATGGGTAAAGGACAAAGTTGAACATGATCAATTGGAAGAAATTCTTGATCCTAGGGTGAGAAGCACATCTGTAGAGAATCATCAACAAATGTGGTCAATGTTTAAGATCTCTATGCTTTGTGTAAGCATTTCTCCTCGCGAAAGGCCTGATGCGGAAGAATTGCAGACAATGCTACTTGATGTGGCTCCACAATTCAGCAGTTAGTATTCCAGAGGTAACACTAAAGTACTTTTTCTGCAAAACCAATACAAAATTTCAGTTATGTCAACAGTAAAGTTGTGATTATATGAGAATAATGAGAGCAGACTACTACCATATTGGAATAAGATCAATAATTGCATGGTTAAACTGTTGCATTTTCAGGTCTTACTGATTTCAACCAAAGTATACAATCACAACCATGTTCATGCAGAATGTCAGCAGTTTCTTTCCTGCGTGGCAGGAGCCGAACAGGAAGACCATTTTGCAGAACAGGGGATGCAGATGCTAGATTTGTACAATATAGTAGCATTTTTTGTATTTCATCTTGTTTTCAGTACCTCATAATATAGTTGATCTTGAAGTGAGCTTTTTTTGCAGCTTTTGTTTGAGTTGATTTGGAACATTTATTAGATGAAATTTGTCAGTTTGCACTGCATCTCTCTCCAAGTAAATTGATTCGTGATACATTGCACCTATACTGGTAGCTAAGATCTTGCCTAGTTTACTTTGTGTTTTTCTTTTCTTTCTAAGCTTCGTTGGTAAGCAAAAGTTCATACTTTGTACTGATTGACATGGTTTCCAGACTAATTGTTTGCAATGGTCCTTTTGGAATGAGGATGTACAAATGTGTTACATTGCTGTGTTTTGTTTATGGAACCGCTTAGTCACCATAGACCGGCCACTGTCAGAGATTCTAGTAGACCAGTTTCAGCTCCAGTGGTATTACTTTAAGATATTACTTGATGCATTTCCTTCATATCATTTGCTCCCCATAAAAATTAAAAAAATAAATTGCGATTGGTTACTCCTTATGGTAATTTAATAGCTTGGAATGATGAATAAGCATGTATAGATACTTCTGCTTCTTGATATTGAGTAATCATCTTGTACAAATGGACTTTGATTTCACTCTAATTGCTAGTGCAATGGTGGAAAATGTTCAATGGCCTAAATTGCCTAATGTGATGAGGCTCAGATTCGGGCCATGATTTTCTAAAACAAAAAAAAGGTGGTTTTTTAAATCAAAATTTGAAATGCATAGGTCAAATAAAGACAAGCTGATGTGACGTCAATCACGGCCGCAAGCCTGACTGACAATTGTCGCTGGTAATTCTTGAAGTCATTGATCCTTTACTAAATGGCCTCGACAAATTCAGGCAAACATTTGCACAATCTATGCGGAATTCTTGAAGCCATTGATCCTGCACTCATGGCATCTATAGTGCGAAGTTAGACTTCCTTTAAACATCATTATCCAAATTCAGGCTGACATCTATACAATCTATGAGATAATTTCTGCAAGACTGAGGAGCATAGGTCAAAGAGGGCACTAAAGAACTAAAATATCTCCCAGGATGGTAACGAGCTTTGCATCATTACAGCATAATTAGTTTAACTTGTCAATAAAGATTGGGCAAATTACACTTTACTCCCTATGGTTTAGTATTTTTGTACATAGCTTCTATGGTTTTAAAAACTATACATAACCCCCTCATGGTTTAAATTAAAGTGTCAAAGTAAGAGAATTTTGCAATCCATAACAGAGTCAATTAAAATGTCAAAAAAACTCCTATGTAAAGTTAAAAATTTTCCATTAAGCACAGGGAGTTATATAGCAAAGCATTAAACCATAAGGGAGTTATATAGTAAAGCATTAAACCATAAGAGGATTATATGGTAAAATATAAAATCATACGGGATTTGAGTATCGTGCATATTATGTTTATATATTTTGATCACTTCAGCCATATGAATTTTTTAACAAAGGTAATTTCGACATTTTCACAGGTTCCGTTATGGATGACCAATTTCGTCACATTGATACTTTAATTCAAACTATGAGGGGGTCATATATAACTTTTAAAACCATAGGGGGCTATGTACAAAAATACTAAATCACAGGGGATAAAGTGTAATTTGCCCATAAAAATTTTATTGTTTCAGTCTACACCTAGACTTAGACCATCTTTCCTCCTTCACTGTATTGAGTTATGTGTAGTTATATTTTTACGTTTTCTAGTTTTATAGGCCTCGTGCGATGACCTGTGTGACAGCCCCACCTTTCCATAGGGTGAACCCTAGGGTATCAACGGACTGTTTGTCCAACTCTCGCCGGGACTCGGTCGATCAAAGGACTAGCAACTCAAGATAACCAGAGAAATAACTTCAAATCATGAGCGTACAAACCCTAATGGCATATAATCGTCAAGCCAACTTTCCAAACATAGAATGTTAAGTTAAAAGTCAAACTTACCACTTCACACTACAATTACATAACATAAGTCGAACTTATGAATTCAAACTTACAGGAGTCAAAAGTAAAGTCAACTAAGCAAAAGGTTACAACTCGAAGTACAAGTTCAAGCAAAAGATAAAGCTTTGAAAGCTCTTGCCCCTATGTCCATCCCACATCTGTTAAGGAAAACAAAGGGAGTAGGGTGAGCTAAAACTTAGTGAGGTTCCAAATAAATAGATACGCACATAGCCAGATAAAGATGTAAGGTAAACAAGTAAATACAGTATTGTACTACAACAATGTAATCACGGTTCAATTCAAGGATACGGGTGGCTTCCAAAAGCTAAATCCACTTGAGTTTGATCATATAAGAATCCGTTGACTCTCCGTCAACGTTTGAATTTAAAGAATACAATATTCGTAGAACTCCACTTTCTCCAATTCCCATCCACCAGCCAACTCCTTTACCGGATCTGAACTCCTCAAACAGTAAGTAGGTAATATTTGAGTATACCGTTTTCTAGTTTCAGTAAACAGTCCTTAAGGTTTGTCGGCCTTCTAGACCAAGTCCTTGCTGCCTCGATATGACCGACTCACCTATGAGGTTGGGTACTCAAACAGTAGCGGTAGTTGATAGGATATCACCCAAATCAACTCAAACACAGTCATATATAGAGAAATCACATCTCATAATAGCAGTATACAGAGCCTCAGTGGAATCGAGGGAGGTTGAGTGCAATAAAGTACACACTCGCCTCAATTTTTATCAAACAATGTTTGGCTCAAGCAGTCACCAATCAAGTACACAGATATTTCATATAGATAGTTAACAGGTAATGGAACACTCACCTGTCAAGTGTGACGACCCCACCTCCCCCTAAGGCGTACCAAAGGGTTCGGCGGACCGCCTGCCCAGCTCTCGCCAGGACTCACTCACTATCTTAATCGAGTCACGTACACACATCCATGAACCATAAATAACATTCCCAATTCAAGATTATAATTTACATTAATAGAAATCGAGGTACAAAGTCTCAACACACCCAACTAGTTCAATACGTATACAATCCAAGTACAACATGTTCCATTCGAGGAATAGCGCGAGTACAAGACCAAAAAGTCAAAAGTCAAAACAAAAGGCTACGCTAGTCTTTTACAAGTCTCACGCGTCACTCGTACCCCTGAAAGGAAAACAAATGGAGTGGAATGAGCTAAAAGCCCAGTGAGGTTCCAAATAGCAAATTGACCATTATTTAGAAGTACAAGTTTTCGGTATAGCAAAGTAACAAGCATGCAGAGTTCATAAATGTGAGCAATAACACGTCAAGTAGCAATCTTAAAATGAGCGAGTGTAGAAGTTTTTCAAAAGCAACAATAATCCAATAAACAATATTCACTCCAAAGTATAAGGATACGAATGACTCTCAGGAGCCAAATTCCCGTTGCATTACCAGAAGCTTGATCACGTAGTAGTTGACACTCCGTCAACTTTCAAGTAAGTAACCAATCCAGTAGAACACCACTTACACGACTCTCCGTCCACCGTTCAAACCCCCAGCTGGGCCCAAAATCCTCAATAAACACGGGTGGTAATACTCGAGTATATCGATTAGTCGAGGAGATATCACTCCACTCGACAATACAAGAGACCCAGGGTTCGTTACCCAATCGACCAAGCCCTTGCCGGCTCGACTAGAGTAACTCGCCACAGGGTTTCTGGAATTCCAGGAAGTGCGCGCATCATAAACAAGTATATCAAGTCAATTGCAACAATAAACAAGTATATCACGTAAGGGCAAGTGCGATGAAGTACACTCTTGCCCTTACAATTCACGTATATAACATGTAATCAGATTGGTCACGTATCAAGTTCAAGTATCAAGTTCAATTCGGTATTTGAAAGCACTCACCAAAAGATATAGTGCCTTTACTGGTCACTTTCAGGTTATACTCCGGGTTCGGAGTCCAAATCTGCGATAAAACTCAGTTTGAGAACTTTGAAACATGACTTAGATTCGAAACTTAAACGTTTCGTTCAATAAAATTCAAGAAATTGGAATTCACTTGGATGGTAGTCGTGAAATACTTGCTCACTTTTTAAACGGTAAAACTTTGTAACATTTATACTTGAAAATGCCATGCAAGTCGAAAGTATAAGGAAAACATACTCCGAGCAATCATTATTTCATTTCTCAAGGGTACAAGTTCGGCCAAGTCCTTCCTTATATACCCCGGAACAAAAATACTCAAGTACCCTAGATGGTTCAAGTACTATTCATATCAATTCGACCCAAGTCGCAAGTGTATTTATATAGTCCTCGAGCGTAAATTCGGGCAGCATGCCCTTTGTGTTTACCTAATTTTCCAGCCATTTAGGCTTCATTATTTTTCTCAACCACAACCCAACATCACATATGTCAACAATTCATGTCCAGAGCCGTTCCACAGGCTCACAATATCATAATAACAAGAATCACAACAATGACAAGTGCAGAAATTCAACTTAGCACAAGACAGATTTGACGTACGAATGCGGAAATATCCGAGGCTACGCTTATTGGATTGAGGAGTAACCTATGCCGTTTCGAAGCTAAGACACAGAGCTACAATGTTCATGAAGGTCACTTAGTCCAGTTTCTAATGTAACTTGGTCAAATTCTCAAATTACTAAACCAGAAACCAATTCGTCGGCTGTTTAAACGCATTACACTGTAACAGACATAACTCAGTGTACAAAAGTCCAATTCAGGTGTTCTTAGAGGCATTTTAAAGCTACTTCAGAACACTACAACTTTCATGTTTTGGAAAAAAGCTAAATCAGAAGAAATCCTAGTCAAAAAACGTGATAAACTGGACTTAACTGATCACACGGACTGCTTAGGAAATACTTAAAACAGTAAGGGTATTTTGGACTTTTCACATCATACGTTGCTCCGATTGAGTTGAAAATTTGTAGGCACCTATAAAATTCCATTCTATACAACTTTTATTCTTTGACCTAAGGCCAATTAGGCCTCTATAATATAGATACAAATTCAGACAGAATGTTGAGCAAAAATTCCAGATTCTGAAATTTT